GGATGATTTCAACTAACTGAAAGCTCAAAATGAATGAACATATTTGGATGACTGGAAGCTCAGTATAAACAGTTTTTTCAGGTAATTACACTGTCTGTACTAGAAAAAACGTAAAATGCCACCAAACTCAGGAGTGACATTTTAAAAATGCATTCAAGTCCCTTAACTATTAACAAAAATGTATCTTATTTGTGTATCACTCAGCTGTAGATCCTCAAATCTAAAGCACTGTGCAAACTGTTGGCGCTATATAAATCCTGTATAATAATAATAATAATAATAATAAATCATCTTTGAATTGATGCTGACACTGTCCTTCCTTCTGGAGGGTGGCTACTTTTGTTCCCCATGGTCCCAGTGTGTGTTATAAAGTAGCCACCGCTGCAAGCTCACGCCTGTGACAGACTACAAGCTCAAAACAAATTAGTAAACTAAACATGAGATTGTAGTCCATCACTGGAGCGAGCTTGGAGTACTGATTTACAACACACAGGGACCATGGGGAACAAAAGTAGCCACCCTCCAGAAGGAAGGACAGTGTAGGCATCAATTCAGAGATGATTTGAGCCATGTGATGCACCAATATGATATATTTTTGATAATAGTTAAGGTACTTGAATGCATTTTTAAGATTTAACTCCTGAGTTCAGTGTCACTTTAATTGAGTGCATGACTTTTGAAAGGGCGTGTAAGTAAAGCATTGGGGTATTTGTTAAATATTTGCCAAAAGTTGTTCTCAGTTAAGCACTACTCACATGCAAACCTGCTTTCTAAAATATTTAGGTTAATTTGTACTTTGTCTGTTCATGGCAAAGTACAGGCTCACTTGATAGATTGCCCCTTGCGCCACTATCTATCTTTCCCAGGCTTACCCAATGCTCTTGTCTTTGTTAAAGCCAAGTGGAATAAACAGTACTTCTGGGTATGGGGGATCATGTGACTCTCGTCCCTTCCATCCATGATGATGTACTGGGTGCCTAAACAGCTTACAATAACATGATAGATTCTATACTTATACAAAACGTTTTTTACTTGGCTACTGTTGGTGATCAAAGTGGTGGGAAAGCAAAGGTAAGTTAAGTATCAGTAGCAGGGGCTACTGAAGTAAACTTGAGCTTTGCCCATGTAGATCAAAACAACAAATTTGCTTTAATGACCCCTCCACTTACTTTTCCTTCACTCCTTCTCTGCTGAAAGTCCAATTCTGAGGCATTGAAGCCTGAGCTAAAAATACAGGGCTGAGGAATCTCCATCCAAAGACCAACACTGTCAGATGAGAGCAAAGAGAACGGGTCACATGTACCTCTATACCCAGAAGAATCAAATATTTATTTTGCTCCTAACATCTGAATGGAGAGGCATAGAGGAGAGGAAGAATGGTATGTGCTGCTGTGTAGGGGAGTATCAAAGCTAACCTGTTGCTTAGCCTCGTATAGACAAAGCACATGTTTGCTTTGAGTAAACCAGTTACTTTGCCCTGAATGGAAAAGGTTTGCTTTAATAGTGACAATACTTGCTAGAAAAAGGTTGCTATATGGCATTATATATATTTGGAGTTTATTTCTGATTTTGATGTTCTAAGTCTTATAGGTTTACTAAGTACTACTGTACCCAACACTTAATCAACGAATACTCTACTGTTTCTTAAAATGCTGTTGTTAATAGATGTTAACTAAAAAAGACCAGAGAATGTTATTAGAAAGTACGATTTGAATGTAGCAAGCATCAAAGAGGATGCAGCTAGCAGAACTGATAAAGCAGAAACCCAGCCAAGGTCTACGTTTTCCAGGGACAAATCTTCAAGGAAATCAGGGATAGTTGGCAAAAATCCTAGATGAGATTATCAACAAAGTTAAAAGCCCACACTGTACAAGATCACAGGGAGACCACTTTTATATTTCCAAAGGCAGTATGGGTTTGACATAAAACACAAAAAAAACAATACATTGGGAGACCTTTAACTTTGTCCAGGGTAATACCAATGCATCTTAAACTGACTAAACATAGTGGGATACCATCATTAATTTCCAAATGATTATACCATTTTTCACCTTACACGTATAACCATTACCCTGAAGCCCACGGACACTACAGAGGTGACATTTTTATGCAAAAACAAGAGCGAGCCTGACATATGGAAATGTTCTCCCTGGTGCATCTGTCCTGGCAGTAACATCAGTTACAGCAGTCATCCAAATCTGTTCAATGCAATCATGCAGTGAGATTATGCCATGATTACGGTAAAATCTTTGCTCAGTTATGCTGAGTTTATCGAAGAACAAGGCTTGGCAAGGATTAAATATTTGAGCATCGCTTGTGAAAAGTGGGCAGGGTATGCATTCAAATCAATTGATAATGAGCATTTGAATGAGATAAAAATATGAAGCTTCATTGGTTATATTTTGCAGCATGCAAAATATCTGTCGATCACCACTGGCTTTAAGCAGAGCTTGCACCAAAAAAATCAAGGCCGACATATTGATTCCTGCCCACCAACCAGATCCACTATCAATCCAAAAAGCTATAGCAAAATTAAACAGCCTGTGTTGGAAAAAAGTGAGTAAATATTGTATAATTAGCTTATCATTGACTTCCTCCCACTGCACCTAGGTGAGGGTGACATCACCAAACATAAGCTTTCTAAATCCTGTAAGATGTTCCTGCACTGTACTGGAGTTTTTTCTCATGTGATTTGGGGTACTTGGCATTCCCCAGGATCTTGAGGTGTGGGGGGGAGGAGATGGAAAAAAAGTAGACTTAGCTTGGTAGTTCAAAGTGAACCGACTGTGGACTTAACATCAGATATATTTTCATAATACAAAGTTACAATGTTGCAGTGTGGTCACTGGGAGGAGACGGAAAAGCAGCAGACTGATGACTGGAAGGCTGATCATCTTAGCCTAGGCAAAGTCACTTGACTGGAGAGGACTGCCCTTTAACAATAAGTTACAGATTAACACAAAAAAAGACTGTTTCTGTATGTAGGGACGTGTTGGCAATGTAATCATGCAGAATTATAAAGTTAATGAAGGTCCACTTTAAAGGAAATCTACATTGAGGGAAATATGTAATTCACCATTGCTGACCTCCTTGTGAATATGATAGTTGCATGGCTCCAGTGGTTTCAATACTCTCTGAACCAAAATTAGTGTACACATCAGGAGTTCCAATTTCACTAGTTGCATGCTTTCTCTGGGTTAGCGGCTCAAGCAGTATTGAAGTAATTGAAGTCAGATTACAAGCATTCTCAGCAATGACAGGCTACACACAGAAAGGCTTCTTCCTAATAACACCTTCCATCTACAAAGCCTTATGCTTCTGGCAATGTAACCCTTCATTTTCTCATAATGTTACAATTCTCTAATGTAACACTTATGTTTCCACAAGCCTCTCTTCTACTGTGTACCGGACCATTATTTTCCAATCCATGACAAAACATTTGAATGGCAGTCAGTATAAAGCCCATTTGTCAACGATTTAAGGGCACGAGTAAACAGATGTTTTCCAGCATCCGAAGTGTGTTTGATATGCACATTAAACGCAGGTTAGCAGACTCCAGTTTACTGTAATGGTAGTGGGTATGAAAGTTCTAAAGCTCCATTTGACATTTGACACAGCATTCCCTATTTAGAAGCATTTTTATAGTAGGCAAAGCAGGTCAGATGCTGCCTTTTTTTCATGTTCAAATGCATTGGAATGTAAAGGGAAAAAGGTGTTTATAACAATGCCCAGCTACATAAGTCCTAAATCATTGTGCTACTCTGTTGGTGTATTTTCTCGATGTACAGCACTGTCACAATGAACAATAAAGTGCTATATACCCAATATTAACAACATTTGGATATTTTTAATAATTAGATTATAATTGTTATTAAAGCGAATGTCCATAGCATGTGAAGTAAGTTCAAGGTGTCTCAGAGCACCCTGCATCGCTAAAACTCCTTATACTTTTAAAATTCATACTGCCCTTGCTGAGAGTTAGCAGCAGAACAATTCGATGTTTTATGAATTTTATTTAAATAAGGGACACCCTCACAAGGAAGTAGCATGGATTCAGGACTCCTGAACTGTCTACAATATTCTCATCAAAATTTTCACCATAGCGAATCTCAGAGTGGCCATTCAGTCATATTGTAACAATAACCTGGACACTGATGGACTAAGTGCAAACAATCATTTATAAGTGAACTTCTGCATGTCCAAGACTATTATTGATTGGTCAGAATTAAATGCAACAGAAAGGTATTTTTTTTTACATGAAAGTTCACTTTTGAAATCCATGGGCAAATTATTTTTGAGGATAACTCTTAAAAAGCACACCCTGCCCTTGGAAATCAGGGACATTTGGTAGTTGAGATGATTGCACCACCTCAATTCACACTTGTCTCTGGCGTGTGCAGAAATAGCTGCCAATTCACACCTCAACAACTTTCCAATACTCTTCTGTTCTGTCTTTTCCCATTTGTCCCTTTGTCAGCATATAACCAAGCATGTGTCAGATTGAACTATCACTGCAATCTTTATTTATTTGATTGCCAAGGTGCTGTAAGTAAAAGGAACCAAAATGAGGTCCAAGTTAAAAAGAATTGCAGCTCATCACAGTCTTTTCTAAGGACACTGCTTGGCATGGAATACTGATGTAGCTACATGTGCTGCTGTTGTAGTATATCTGATAAATGCTAAGAAAGAATGCTTGGTTGCTCATAACAATTAAAGTCAATATGAACCAGACCCCTTAAAATTGTCATTGCTATAAAACATTCACCCTAATATTACATGCCTGCTGGAAATCTAGAGCTTTGCTTTGTGGCTGGTTTTTTATCTTAATTCATTTATTAATAATGTATTACATGACTGTCAGGTTCATTACCCAATACCTATTTTGACTATTATGGTAACCAGTTTTAGTAAAGGTTTTGTATGTGCTTATATGCAAGATACCATCTCCAGCCCATATTCAGATGCAGCTAGATCCAACAGTAAAGCAATAAGTACCATACCTTGGCATAGCAGAAGGAGATGAGCAGGAGAGGAAGCAGGTACCCAAACACAAAGGAGCACACCACATAGATCCTCTTTTGCTTCAGATTTGGCCAGTACTCCCAACAGAAGGTCTGATTGTTGCCTCTGTGTATCAATCGTTGGTTGTAGGCAACAGGAGAAGCCATGGCAATAGACAGGATCCAGATGAGGATTACACCAAGCAGCGCATGTCTGGAGACACGGATAGCGGACGATCTCCTGGAGTGCACTATTGCCACATAACGATCAACTGACATAGCAGATAAGGTGAAGATGCTCACCAGCATGGACACAGTTAAAAAGTAGTGGATAAACTTGCAGATGAAAGCTCCCAGCACCCAAGTTGGCAAGACATAGACAGTGGACTGGAAAGGGATGCAAAAAAGTAGGTAGGCAAGGTCAGCTATGCTAAGGTTGAGTATGAAGATGTTGGTGGTGCTGCGGGGCTTCCCTGGTTTGTTTCTTGCCAGGACAGTAATGACCAAAGAGTTGCCCAGGACCCCCAAAGCGAATATGATGCAAAACACCACTAAGGTGATAATGTCATCTATACCAATCCCTAGGAGGGGTTTGACTGATGGCTGTTCAACGGTGACATTGGGGTCCTGGGCGAGACCCTCACTCTTGTTCCCCAGCTCAGCAGGTAGATCCATGTCTTCAGAGTTGGAGAAGTAGACCGATCAATTATCTTTTTCTTCAGTAGAAGTGAGATGAGCTGCTTTTCAGAGAGGTGGAATAGTGATTTCAGGGAGTGGAGTCCCGGAGCTGAGCGGAGTATCTAACAGGTGGATGAGAAGCCAGAACCAAGTACAAGAGAAGTTTCCTGTGCCGAGCAGAATGAGCGATCAGCAGAGAAGGTGCCACCAGCTGCTTGTTCTAGTATGACTGGCTGCCTGTGCCTGGACTCCGCACCTCTCTTCTCCTCTTCTATCAGCTGCGCATGGCAGAGAAACTGAGCCCGCTACTTGTTACAGCATAGCCAATTGTACGGGCTCTGCGCTCACACTGCACATTGCCATCCACTCCATGGAGCAAGCAGCCCTCTGACTTCTATTAGCAGCCCCGATTCACACATAGCACACACTGTCATCATCACATCAGCAGGGATCGGGATCTTCCCGGCACTGTTATCATTCACTGGAACCTGGAAATACCACTTACCACCATGTCAGGACAGCAGGCACAGGGTGAAAATCATTCTTTCAGCATACAAATATGGCAAATGTTATTGCTGACTAGAAATCAGTGGCATGGTATTGGAAACATTATTATTATTTTAAATGTGTATTATTATTAGTAGTAGTAATAGTAGTATTAATATGATTAATAATAATTATTATTATTTTTGTTGTTGTTATTATTATAATACTAATAATAACAATAATAATTATTATTATTAGTAGTAGTATAACAATAATAATAATAACAACAACAATAATAATAATAATTTGTATTATTAATATTATTATTGCTGTTATTATTAGTAGTAGTAGTAGTATTATTAAGAATTTATATAGTGCCAGCAGTTTGCACGCTGCTTTACAATATAAAATATGGGGAGACAGTACAGTTACAATACAAGAGGATTAGAAGGGTCCTGCTCATGGGAACTTGCAATCTACAATTGATTGCACTGTGAAATGACCAGTTTTGCCATCAGTAAAATGCCTCAACTCTCAATTTCTCATTAAAGTAGAACTAAAGTTAAAAACGATGTTTCATCTTTGTTTACATTTTGAATACAGCAAGGGTGGATTATAACCCCAGTCACATTACTAGTGGTTAGCAGGGTCACCAAAAATATTTTTCCATCTATTCCTGCTCAGAGGGAAACCCAAAGTTTGAGATTTTCTTTTACTTTCAGTGATAATGGTCACTCACTAGGACAAATAGAGAGGGTAAAACTCCCTAACAGGGACACAGACAGCAAAAAATACCTTTCTTTCTTTATTTTTATCACTTTTTCTATTCAATTATTTCTTCTTATTTTTTTTAAAAATGTATTTATTTAATTTTTTAATCAATTTAGTTTTTTTTAGATTTTTATTTATCTTTTTACTTTTTTATAATTTACTTTTTATAGTTTTTATCGTATTATTGTTTATTTTTTAACAATCACGATGGGGCTGCCCGAGGCTCCGCCCACCGTCTCCATAGTTTGCGGCCGGCGGACACCTTACACCGGAGCCCGCAACTTCCCACAAGGTCACCACTGACGCCCTCTGCGCTCTGCCGCCCCGAGGCCGGGCCTCGGTGGCCTTGTGGGAAATCCGGGCCTGGGTGGCATGTGACACCTGCACTGTCACACACCGGCTCTAACTATGGGGATGAGTGTATTCCACTCTCTCCATAGTTCTCCTTTAAAGAATATCTAAACCCAAAACCAAAAATGTAACATATTGCAGCTTACCAGTCATTAGATTAGGTGCTTGCATTAGTTTCCTTTTTTCAGGCTTTCTCCCTTTGTTTTTACCCAAATAATGCACTTTGTGTCCCTTTGTGTCTACACTTACTTTTCCATGGTATCAATGGGAGAAGCCATGGTTGTCACACCGGTTGGTCTTCAAACATGTCTGCCTTTGTTCTTCTCCATGACATAATGAATTGATGAGGCACCGATGAAACAAGTGCAGAGTTAGGCAACCTCAGCACCCCAGCTGTGGTGAAACGACACATCCCATCATGTGTCTCAGGGCGGCAGGGAGTAGAGGGGTGGCACAGCTGCCGGGCAGGTCATTTCTTTCTACATTTAGCCCTGCTTCGGGCAAGCAGAGCTAAATGTAGAGCGGGGAAGCAGATGCTCATTTTGTATATGTATATTTGGCGATCCTGCCAAGACCACTTGTAATATGCCTGCAGGTCTGTCACCCCCCCCCCCCCCCCTACATGGTCCGCCCCCACCTCTGGCTGCCTCTGTCCCTGCTGGCCGCCTCCCTCCCTGCCATGGTTTTCGGGATCCCACACTCTTCTGGGGGACCCAGCACCACGGCACATTCGTTCAGGATGGAGAGCAGGGAGCAGAGCGAAGACAGTCCGTTTTCCGCTCTGCTCTATGTGAACACTGAAACGAGAAAGCTGTCACAGGAGAGCCAGCACAGTGTTGTGCTACTCCTGTATTGGAGATGACAGGTTCAATAAAGAGAACTTGTCCCCCCAAATGCTATTACACAGGGGCATGTTAGCTCCAGTGTGATAGCTATAAGGTTAAGTGGAAAAAAATGTAAATAAAAATAAAAAATAAATAAAAATTGATAAAAAAGTTAAAAAAAATCAAATAATAAGAAATAATAATTAAAATAAAAAGCGATAAAAAAGTAAAACATTATAAAATAAACAAATAATAAAATATAAAAAAGTATAAGATAAATAAAAATGTAAAAACAAAACAAAAATAAGAATAAAAAAGTGATAAAAAGTTTAAAACATAAAGAAAATATAACAAGATTGAAACCAACCCTGCTGCCCCCGCTATATGGTTGCCATTCTCCATTGGGGGGGGAGGGTTTGGAGGGGAGGGGCCCATTCATTGTTATTCGGCCAGGACCCACGGCATACACTCAACTCAGAGGTCTAGTGGAGTCCCAGTGGGTCACAGCTGCGTTGGCAGCAAAAGGGGGACCTACCTACAATGCACTGCACAAACTGTTGGTGCTATATACATCCTGTCTAATAATACTCAATGGTCACAATGTTATGGCTGACCAGTGTATATCCTTTGTGGTTATTGTGGAATATATTTTAATTTTTGTGCAGGTAGTTCAGCATTAATGTTCCACTAAGAAAGAGGCATGAAGGTACAGGTAAGGTTGTATGTGGTTGAAGTCCAGCCATAGCATATGTGTTCTAATGAGCCCTCCCTGCAGTGAACAGGCCATTGAGTGCAGCACTCCACAGGGAACTCACAGTACTGGGACTCTTTAGCTCAGGCTTCGTGCTGCTTAGAATACAGCTTTTAACAAGACACAACTTGTGGTGGATGGTGTTCCTATGTTTACACTGAACAGAGGCCTATGTTTTGGGATACATTTGGGCTTTTGGGTAGTGTTAGTACATCAACATCAAAATTCACATAAAATCTGAGTGCTGTAGAGTAGAGCTAAGTCTTGGCATGAAGGAGAAAATACAGCAGTGTAATATGCATTCTACAGTAGCCCCAAGCCACCAGTCAGTAAACATTTTTCTTTGCTGATTAAGGGTCATTGTTCTTGCAATGCAGTAATGAGATATTGCTGAGAGAGAAAAATAGCCAGCAGTTCTATGGAAATGCATATTAAATATACATTTAGAGTGTTCCAGATACAGGAGTGCTATCACAATGTGCCTGCTATCCAGAGAGGTTTTCCAGCTTTGTGTGCAGATAAAGTTAACTTTTTAAGACAAGAGAGTATAGGTATTAGATTCATGACACATTCGACTTTTTACAAGGATGTCTGTACTTAACACATCTACATTACAAGTTAATTTGGAGGCATCGCTGATATCTACCCTGATTGCAGCTTTCAGTACACATTGTCTTACTTTCTCTGAACACATCCATCTGTTTGTATAACAACTTGCATTGGGAGCATGGACTTTTAGGTACAACTACAAACAATTTGTAGCCAAGACCACTCAAGAATTGGGGCCAGCTTTATTGTAAGTAAAAAAAACATTAAGGTATATGTCTGCCCAAAAGTGATACTTCAGTTTTAGGGATAAACTAGGTTAGGGGTGGTTATAGCACAGAAATAATAGGGGTCAGGAGTTAGGGTGTTAAGTTTAAAGGTGAACTTCAGAAAAAAAAAAAAGTTGGACCTGTAAAAAAAAAAGGCAGGTTTTGTTACTATACTCCTCTTCAGCTGTCCCCTGCAGTAATTACTTTCCACCAATAAATGCCACCAATCTTCTGATTTAAATAACAGCCAGCATCATTGAATTTACTTCTGAGGAACCCAGGCTGTTATGTACAAGCTCCCTGGGGCATAGGCCTGGGCTCAATATACCACTGCACTGAATGGCACTCAAGTGTCATTACATGTGCACCATGTAGTGCAGAAGTAAGGGCCACCCACCGCTGCTGGTTACAGAAAAGAGGAAGGACCTGTGACATCTTTGGACTCAGAAAAATCATGAATTAGTTTGCTGACCCAAAAATTTTATATTTTAACTACAATAGTACAGTGAGTCAACCCTTGACTTCTTATGTATCTTGAATACTCTAACAATTAAATTTTCCTACCATAGTTCTTAACTCCTGTTCTTGTCTACCTGGGAGTAATGGGTGTCCCCGCTCACCTTTGCATGTTCCAGCACTTCTGGTTGTGTTCTCTGGAATATAACATAAATTATAAAAGCAATGTACTATTGCTGGGATTTGTTGTACTCCTCTATAGCTGGTGGTATTCTGCAGTGCGCTGTATAGAGGACTACAAAACCCAGCAAAAGCCGCTTCTGCTGCACCCACACGCACCCTTGGAACTCTGGACCCCTGGTGAGAGCCCGCACAACCCTCCTGAGACCCTGGAGACATCAGGTGGAGAACCCAGAGCAACAGAGTATGTAGCTTCATATTATTCTGCATTGCTGTAATATGCATTGCTGAGATTTGTAGTTCTCTATAGTTGATGCTGTTCTGCATTGCTGTGTAATGGTATTGCTGGGAATTGTAGTTCTC